ATTTCCGACCACCGGAGGCGGTGGTCGGCGGTAGAATTCGCGGCGGCAGACGGCTGCCGGATTCCCTCCGGTGAGGGAATCTAGAGAGAGGCCAGAGAGAATTCTGGCTCTCTCTCTGTTTGAGAAAAAAAAAATGAAATGGCTGGCCCGAAGGGCCAGCCGGTTTGGACCATATATAGTCCTTCCCGAACGACGTCGTTTCGGGAAGGACTATGCGCATAATTATGAAATAGTTAAACTCCGTCCGCAGTCCTCCGTATTTGTAAACTTTACATTTTAGTCACTAAACTGAATTTATAATAATTTTAATTCAGTCTTTGAATTTTAATTTTATTCATTTTAGTCCTTTTTATTAAAATAATATATTTAGGATAAATGACAGATTTAATCCCTTAATTTTAATAAATAATTTTTTTAATCCCTAGTTCATATTTTTAATTTATTTTATTATAAAATTTGAATTTTAGATAATTTTATTTTGGTCACTAAATTATTAAATTAGAAAATAAAATATTTAATCCCTATAATTTCAATTAATTAGATTTAGTTTTATTTTTATTATAATTTAATTATTTATTTTATATGTTTTCATTTTACTGTTTAAAATATATTGTTTTAGTGATATTTTTATTTTATTATATTGTTAAATATTTTTATAAATATACATATAATAAATAGTAATTTTTTAAATATTCATTTTTAATATCGAAGAAAAGGACAGTCTTAATACAACTGGATGTCCTATTCTGATATTTTAAAATTAAAAAGTAAACAATATTATTTAAATTAATATTTATCAATATCAAAGAAAAGAGCTGTCTTAAGGCACCTAGAAGTTCTTTTCGGATATTTTTAAATAAATAAATTTTTTATAATTTTGAAATAATAGAATTATAAATTAAATATATTTTTGAATTTTAAAAATTTTAATAATAGAGACAATTTATAATTAAAAAGTACCAATTTTGGGCGTTGTAGGGGTGCTCATCCTTCCCTAAACGTAACCGACCACGAATCCCTTTTTATTATTAAAAAGAATGAATTTTTGGTTATCAACGCAGATCAGTTTGTTTTTTTAATTGGTGTTTTATTACAACTCTTTTAAAAAAATAATTTTTAGGTATTCGACCTACCTGACCCAAAAGGCCGATGTCGACTCCCAAATTATTTTCAAAACTATTTATTCACATCAATTTCCCCGCCAAAAATAAATAAATTCGTGCCCGGACGAAAACCGGTTACGACAGAGAGTACTAAGCATAAATTAATCATGGAGAAGTCAAGTACCCTAGTGAATGCTAATGTGAATTTTGAACCACAAAGAAATTCAGCTTTAGAGTTGGGAAAACATACATCTAGGAATGTTTTACTAAGAGGGTTTCCATGATGAAGATTTAATAACTGGTTAAATTATTTGGTGATTATACCAACGTATATAAATTCTACATTGAGGAAAAAGAAGATGAATGACATACTTGATGGGCCTTAACGCCAATTTTATTCAAATATGCTGCAAAAATCCTTGTGGACATGCACTCCCCAAAAGAAACCAAATAGTCTTTTGTTCGTAATGTTAACTCTTTCATCATAGAAATTCCCTTTACGAGCAGCTCCAATACTTGACCTACAAAAGGGTTTTTTCATGCAAAGAGAACAGAAGAAGAGACATCAATATAAAATCAAATGAATCAAGAAATTTCTGATGTTAGAAAAGAAAGAAGATTTGATGTCAACTCAAGAGTTGATTATAAACTCACCATCAACAATCGACCTTTCCACTCCAAGCCCATCAGCCTTCCTGGGTTTTAAGTTTGCAAGAAGATGTTACAAATTTAAATAACTCTTTATCTTTACAACCAACACCCAAAGGAGGAAAAAAGAAGGGAAAAAACCCTTTAGATTACTCTGACCTATGATGTAGCTCTTTTATAAAGTTTCAATTCTTCTAAAGCATCTACATTAGTAACACCACAGCTAACAGCTTTTTCTCCAGCCTAATCATCAAGCAAAATCCAACTTCTTAGCAATCCCTTGTATTTGGCATATGGAAAATAAATGAATGGATAAAAGATGAAATAAATAAGCGCGATTACTAGCAAAAGCTTATTGGTAGTCTTCCCCATTGCAGAGAGAACAATGACTGGTCGTTCATCGGGGAAACTGAGTATAAGTTCAGCAACCTCTCCATTCGCTAAGCGGAAGCCACTGAGGATCCGCCAAACTTCATTACGAACGTCAATTGATTCTCCGCTTCTCCCAAACTTACAGCTTCAAACTCATTCCTTTGGATAACATCCACATTTCCCCCCTTGACAACTAACTCTAAAGACTCCACTTTCGGAACAACGTGTCAGGCTGATACGTACAGAATTACAAGGCCTAAAGGAAGCGAAACTAAGCAGAGTTGGTGATGCCCATTGGCGTTGCAAAGAAGTCTGCTTTGGAAACGAATGAGATGGACCAGAAAATCGCAACGAAGCCGACATCTTAAACTCAACGAATCTCGTAAGCCAGTTATTTCGACGAATAATAACTAACAAATAAGCTTATATATCCCTCAAAAGATCTGATTAGAAAGCATCAGACAAAAAAAAAGAATTGACGGTGAGTGATTGGATAATACAATATCAGAAGAACAGGAAAAAAAGTGTGCATTATGGTATCCACATAATATTAATCAGAATTGGGAAAATATAGCAAAATACTCCAGACAGAAAGGAGAACAAAGAGCAGGCGGGAAGGAATAATTATACCAATAATGCAGGGATTGAGATTGAAGAAAAAGAAAGGGCTGTGTTTTAGTTTTATAGGCTCATCGAAATGAAACGGCGACCCTCTGACAGTGTTGAAAGAAGGAAATAGGAAGGTAAGCCCACAGCCACGCAGCAAGTGAAAAGACCAAAAATGGTCGGAAGCAAAGACCAGACCGCCGCCTCCCATCCTCTCGTTCGTCTGCCCAGCCTTTATTACGTATGTTTGTAGTTAGATCTGACGGTAATGGTGCAATCTGTTTAATTAGTAGGGCTTCACTCTCTTTTCCTCTTTCTCCCTTTTGTGTTATTTATTTATGGGTAAACTACATAAGTGGTCACTAGACGTCACTAGACTACATAAATTTTCAAGGATACCTTATAAATTAGATTTTTCTTTTCCCTTTGTGTTTGACTAAATGCAGCAAAGTTCTAAAGCTCAACTCAAATACTCAAAGCCAGTGCCATCAAAGGTCGAGGATGAGGATGTTGATGATGAGGAAGATGAGGAGGAGGGCTAACCCGTTGATGTTCAAACGAGGAAAATGACAGGAATATATGGGTGGTCAAATTGTGCCAGGTCACGTTAATATTTCACTACTCCAGTTACTACTGTTAACGGTGATTGATCAATTTGTTATATAAATCATTAATGTTAGTGGCTAAATCCTTATTTTTGAAATATCAGTGGAAAAAAGAAGCTTACTCATATTTCAGTGACTGTTTCTAGAGTTAGCCCTTTATTTATTATCGGTAAATTTTTTGTGTTTATTTTAATCCGCAGCTTTTGTTAAAAGAAATAGAAGGAAGAAGCTGACAATTAATTGATTTAATATACAGCTCCTTTTTCCAAAAAAAAATGATTAAGTGAAATAATGCTTGCTGCACATGCGAATACCAAAACCAACTTATAGAAACCCTGAATTAATCAAAGCAAGTGGGGTAAGGACAATAATAAATACCTTTTCATGAAGTTATAGCTGATTAATTTGGATGACCAAATGAGGCAAGTTATATATAAAAACAAAATGCTATAAAAATGTTTGATAACATTTAGTTGATAGTTGATATAGATAAAATGATAAATAAGTGTATGATACATTTAGTTGATAAGTACACATGTATTTTATAATACTTTAGTTTTTATTTGAGTGAAATTATTCGGATAAAATACTTTTGACAATGAATTAAAAATTCCTTAAAAAAATTAGTGAATAGTTTTGGAAATTTTGGACATATTTTTTAGATTTAATATTTACAAATATTAATCTTATGAGATTGATACGTACTATTAACCTTGTATAAAATATCAACATTACATTTTTTTTTACTTTCATGTTTTGCTATATTTTCTTAATTAAAATATTTTGTGAATCTACATGGAAAAACAAGTAAAAATGGAATGTTTTATGGTAAGGATGTAATTATGAAAATAATACTGCCAAATATGTCATTTAGCATCTTATTTTATAATTAGCTCTCCCAAATCGATGGGTTTTCTAATTTTTTATTTTCAGCTTATTTTGCACAATCAACTCTTTCAAAAAAGTGTTTACCAACACTAAAATAAAAGATTTGACTATCAACCAGCTGTTTATGATCAAATAAGCTGAAAACTCTTTAAAAATTGTTTACAAACACCCCGTATACTTTTAAGTACATTTGGTTTATAAAATATAATATTATTTTTAAAACTAAAAGTATTAAAATATAATATATTATTTGATATAACTCGTCAAGTGATTTCAACGATAAAAAAAATTGTTATTCTCCATAAAGTCTTGAAAACAGTTACGATTGCATATGCGTGTTAGTTGTTAACGACTAAAAAAAATTCTGAATTGATATCACCTTGTAATCATCAAATACTATCAAAAAAGTATATTGTTTAATATATTGATGTAAGTGTTATTTTATTTAATTTATTTCGTCTTATTAAAATGTAAAATTATAATATTTAGTTGATAAGATATAAAGTTATCCGAAAATGTATTTATTAAATTATTTCTATGATGTATTTTTTAAATAAAATTAAATTAAAAAAACTCTTTCAAAAACTCTAACAAAAACCCTAACGAAAAGCTGAATGGATTAGTTGAATTTGTCCTAATTTAGAATGGATAAATAACGTAAAAATTCCAACCGCAAGGAGCCAGAGCCCAGAGGCTGCGACAGGAATAATAAAACCAAAACATCATGCATAGAGATTTGATCCTAAAAGCTGAAATTACTGGACATAAAAAATAATGGAGTAATAAATTAATAAAATCCATCAGAATCTGCTTTTTTTTTTCTTCTAAAGTAAGATGGTAGCTAAGAAAATTAAGCATATCTGCTAACATATTCAATTGCTTGCGCCAACTACAAAGCTCACTACCACTATGATGAGAAGCAGCTAATTGAATTTACACTAGCATTTACTACTGCCACTCTGCTGCTCATACCATCAGAATACGCCAGCCATTCATCCCTCACATTACACCATCGAACCCTGCTGAATCCAAAAGCACTGCTTTGATTTGCTCAGGCAATATATCCTGCCCTTCCCTGCATTGCTGCCATTCGTCAAACACGAAATCAGAATTAATGAATTTTTCTTCCAGATATCGATATCTGCAAACTAACTAAACACCTTAACACTTTCCGATCTTATCTCCTAATTTTAAAACTATGATTGTGGTAGTTGCATAGCTTCAACTTCCAAAGTGAAACTAAACGCGAGGGAAAACAAGCGTCACCGTCTTATTGTTGATCTACATAACCTCCACTTTTCTAATATAATGTTCTCTGGCAACAGATAAAATATTTCCCACTAAAACCGTAATTCTTGCTTCAGTCCATGTGCAAACTAGAACAAGTAGTCAGTCTGCTACTCCTGACTCATGGTCTATACCATTATTTGAACTTGCCTTTTAATGAACATGTCTTTTTTCAACTACAGTCCAACCTAGCAATGATGCACAAAAAGATTACTGAATTCCTTCGATAAAAGCGCAATTTCATTCGTAGTTTTAGGAGTTGAACAGAAGAAATAACTTTCTATAGGGCCTTGGATTTTCCGCTGGAGTTGGCTAGACTTTAAAAGAAACCACATTCATCAAAATTGTTATTAGTTGAAATCATATGCGATGAATATATATGATGGATAGATATATGAAGACAGGAAGAGAGAAAGAAGTGCACCTCAGCTTGGAAAACATCCAGTGCAAACCCATTAAAACAGCTGATTACAGCTTGCTGTATGTCCAATCCAAGGTTGTCTAGAGCTCTCATAGCGGACAGCAAGAGACCTGGCCTGCGAGCACAGAACATGTGAATGTTGACGGCCCTTCCTTCCCTTAACCTCACCTCCACCTGAAAATTGCAAAACCCTAAATGTAAAAACTAGGCCAATGAGTTAATTATTATTACTACTCAAAACATGAAGGAAAAAATGTGTTGTATGTAACAACTAAATATCCGCTCTCATCTACACGAGTTCTATATCCAAATGCAAAGAAACAAAAACCTAGATATAATCTTCAGAACAATATTGACCAATGAATAACAAATATCATAAAGACAGTTCGACTAAGACTCCACATTTTGATGACAATATTTTCTATACATAAAATGGATGAAACATCGGTACCGTTGTTCATACAAGTACGTACACAAGAAGTCATTTATTTGATAGATTTAACAGGGCAATGTTAGCTTTCCAAGATCAACTTAAAATGCAAATCATTTGAAAGATTGCAAGTCCATAGTTGAATTAGAAAGCGTTCAAATTTAATGCAACATGCTAGCTCAATAATAACTTCAAATGCAGTTTTCTTTTTCACAGATGGTAAAAGGACTTCTAAAAAAACCCAGCTTCTAGGAGAAACTAATGAAATTCATGCAATTATAGCAAAACTAGCAAATAAATACAAAATGTTAAATAAATAAATAAATGAACTTTTAGGTTCAAAGGATTACCTTTGCGAGTTGGCTTTTAGGACTCGGGAATGAGCTGGGACCAAGTTCTTCCTTGACACGACCCGGAAGAGTAGGTAGAGTGGGTGTCAATGGGTGGAAACTCGTAGATGGTGGCACGATAGAGCCAGGTGGGATGGATTCAAGTTCAGTGTGAAGATCATTGATCCTTTGCAGAAGCTCCCTTAAGTAATCAATGGCATCCCCGAGTATCGAAGCCCTATCCATCTGTTATATAATAAGCACAATAAGCACCTAAAATAACCAAGGTATATACTTCAAACTAAAATGGCCTCAATACAATTATAACCACTATGACTCAATTAGTTCGCCATCCTAAAAGCAGGGGAACGGAAACTAAAATTAAGCATGCATGATATCAAACTCTCAATACAAATTGGGTGAAATGGCATTGAGTTCAAGGGTAAGATCAGATGCTACATATCAAGGTTCTAACTTTGCACACAATAGCAAGATCGAAATTTTAAGAAAATGCTAGTCCAAAATAATAATTATCAAAGAACTCTCAAATATAATTTTACCTTGCTAATCTTTGGCACAACAGACCTTAGCATGTAAAGTCTATCATTGAGCTTCTTCCTCCTCCGCCTTTCCGCCATCAAATTTTTGGCAGGCATCCCTTTCTTCTTACCCTTCTGATCCCCACCAACAGTGAGCGTACTAGTCGCATTTGAATTGGACCCACCATTCTTGCCACGCTCGTTCAGTTTGCTATCATCATTCCTCTCATCGGAATCATAATTGAAACCCGACACATCGATGCTGGCTTCCTCGATCTCCCCAAGCTCGTGCATCTTCCTCTTTCTGTCCGATGGTTCCCCCAAAACATCCAACTTATCAGCCACACCGGAGCCCTGACGCATCACGGCTCGCTTCTGAAACAAAGTTGGTTGAGAACCAACCGGAGGGAAAACTTCAAGGGTTTTCAAAATCTTTGCTCTGTTCATAAAGACAGCATTCCCCGATACATCGAAGCCCTCAAAACCGCCGCCACTCAAAGCATAACCATTTTCTGTTGTCGCCGTGAACAGCTTTGTACCATGAAAGTCGGAGTTCGAACTGAACTCGGTAGGAAAACCCATCAAACTCGGGGTCTGATTCGGCTGAAACTGAGCGAGAAAAGCAGTTTCGGAGATAAAATCAAAGGCATTATCAAAAGAGTTGTTGGAGAGGAGAGAAGAGAGGCAAGATTTAGGAGGCAAGAAAGGCTGAGGTTCAAGGGTAGTGAAGGGCTGTGAAGGAGAACAAGAAGCAGAGGAATCAAGTGGGTGGTGATGGTGTTGAAGGAGGAGGTTGTTATTATCAACCTGGTTCGAGCAGAAACCAAACTCTTTCATTTGAGGATCATTGCTCATACCTGGGTTCATGTACCAATCAGCATCAAGCATGGATTTGAAGGGAGAAAGAGAAGCACCCGACATGTTGAAGTCCTGTTTAGTCACAATTTGAGTATTGCTGCTGCTGCTGTTGTTGTTGTTATTGTTGTTTGGAGTCCAAGAAGAAACTGCATCTTCTTCCTCCTCTCCATCCATCCAAACCAGGCCATTAGCTCCAAGAACCATCGCTCTCTTCCGAGAGAGAAAAGGGAGTAAAGGAGGGGAAGCGGAAATGGGAAACCAGAGAGCGAAAGAAAAGTGAAGTTACTTTTTCAGCAGAGCATCACATTTGTGAAGAGAAGAAAGAGAGAGGATTCCATGATTGAGCGTTACGAATAACGCACCAAACAAAACCGAGTCTGGGAATTGGAGAGTAATGAAACAACGTACGTGGTTTTATCCATCTCTATGTCTATCTCTCTGTGCCTGTCCTCTACCGCTACTTTCGTTGCCCGTTTCTTTCCTGTCATGTTCAGTTCTTACTTCTTATCTTAGCCCATTTTTCTCTTAAAATTTCTATAAATCACCCGTATATTTTAATATGTATAGTATGCGGATATTTCTCTTAAAATTCGAATTCATAAAGTTAGTGGATTTCATTTTAGGAAGAAAACTCAATTATTCTTTTAAAATTAAATTAAGTGAAATAAATTTTAATTGAATAAATTTGTATGAGATAAATTATTAAAAAATAAGGATAAACTACATAAATTGTCATCAAACTTTTAGAGTTCTTGCATTTTGGTCACTCAACTTTTAAAACTTATAATAAAGTCATTAAACTTTTTATTTATTTTCAGAAATATCCCTGACGTTATCTCCCGTCAGTTTTATAACTGACTTGACACATTACCTCCCATTAACCCTTCTTCTTCTTCTTGACGATCCCAACAATATGTTTTTATTTTGTTATTGATTCGGCGAGATCAAAGGGTAGAAAATTACAAACTTTTCCTTCAGATACACCTCCTCTAATGCAATCGAGGTAATACCATTAATTCCACTCGATTTTATTCTTTTTATTTTCGTTTCGTGCTCTTTGGGTTTTCACATGAGGCTGATATATACATTTTGCATTCATCATCGTATTGTTGAAATGACAAACTCTCAATTGTTAAAACAACAGATGTACTTGCTTTATTTTAAGACATGAAATTCCTGTTGAAACACAAATCCAAGATTTCTTTTTTTTTTCTCTTTATAAATGAAAGAAAGAAACCCTTTACATACAGATTTGTAATCGTGTGAGGTTTTTGAATGATTGAAAGTAGGAAAATATTAGGATTCAATCTCCCAAGAATGTAATCCCTGCCATTACTGCTCAGTGGAGTTTATGCGTACTTGTTTCCAAATTGAAAATTGTAAATGCCATGGATTTCTTCATGCTTATTCTTTGATGTTAAAAGTACAATGGTAGTCATGGCTTCCTCCACCACCAAACTTGAATAAATATGTTTATGCTTTCTTCCCTTGTACGACCCTTTTCTTCTTTCTTATAATTTGTTAACTGTCATTGCTGGTGGTAGTCATGGCTTCCACCACCACCAAACTGGTAAAAACAATCCCATTTGTGTTGTTAAAGAAAAACGTGTGAATTTCATGGGTTTTGTTGGTAAGATCGTCAATTGTGTTTGGGGCATGGTTGAAGAAGAAAAGAAAACTTCCCGTTGAGGTGAACAATGAGTTGAAAATAATTTGTGTTCGATTGATGTTGTTTCTTAGTTTCGGATAGAGTTGATGAAGAAGAAGAAGAGAGAGTTAACAGGAGGTAACGTGTCACATTAGATAGAACTATCCGGAGGTACAATCATGGACCTTAATAAAGTGATCTAAAAGTTTGATGAATGTATTATAAATTTTAAAAGTTGAGTGACCAAAATACAAGAGTCCTAAAAATTTATTGACCATTTATGTAGTTTAACCAAAAATAAATAAACAAGTTAAATTAAATTTTATTGATTTTCAAGGACGAAGTTATTTTCATCTTGGGGTTACCATCTCTTTTTTTATATTGTTTAAAAATATGAGTAAAGTTTAAAGTAAAGTTCATAATTTTAGTTTATTTTGATTTTATCTCTCTCTTGTTATGGTTAATTATATTTTGTTTCTCTCATTTTTATGATTAATTATATTTTTTTTATAGAAGTCGCTAATTTTATTTAAAATAGGAAATATCTCATTTTACAATGAAGACCTGCAATCATAATAGTAAATTAAAAATATAATTAGGACAATTTTCTATAATCATTAAAATAAAACTATTAAAAACTTAAGATCACATAAAGACCATACAAGAGAATATTAAAACCTAACAAAGAAACTTGAATAATGATAGATACAATCAGATCTGATCGCATCGATAAAAAAACCACAGTAGGGAATTAAGATATTGAAAGACCACCGACAAATAGTAAATCAGACTCGAGCGACGTGAAAAATTACCCACGAACGCATAACGAGTATCCAAATTCAATCCAAATGTCCAAAGTAGAAAATATCAACAATATACTAGGTAAACGTCATCTTAATTAATCGTAATAATGTCAAATCAACCATTAGGAAAACATAAGTAAAAATAATGATCAAACGATCGAAAAACGTGTCAAAAGACAAAAGATTTCGTGTCATAAAGACAAATAAAAACATGACATACATACAAACTTATTGAAAATATAAAAACAAAAGGACAACAAAAAATATCAACAGTCGACAATCAATATTAAAGTTGATATCATAACCAATTAATAAAGATGAAAAAATAAATAAACATCGTATCAATAATTCGGACTCTGTCCCTACTGATATCATATCATAATAAATCTTATGATAACTTTAATTTGATAGCATGACTTAATATTTAAATTTAACAAAATTTCAATTAAATTTACTTTTATAGATATTACCTTTTAATAATTTTAAGATTTTTTAAATATAAGAGTTTATTATTATTCCATTATTGAGAGGTATAGATTTACTCAATTATAAAATTAAAAAATATTCAGAAAAAATTTACATAAAGTTATTAATCAATTTTAAAATATATGAATAGTAAAATTCTAATTTTATTCGAACTTAAAAAAATTAAATTATTCATTCATATTGGTTTGAAAAACTAAATTATTCATTCATGTTGGTTTGAAAAGTTAAATTATTTAGTTTAGCTTAATTTTTTTTCTTCAAAATTTTCAATTCAAATTTCTAAATAATACAATCTGACCAACGACCAAACAACCGTGAAAAAAGATGAAAAACATGACACAAATAAAAAAAATGAAATAGAGGAAATTGATGAAGTTGTTAAAAAAAAAAACTATATAATCACACAATTGAGTTTCACATGTTTAAAAATATCTATTAACTAATACATATTTAATAAAACAATCACTCCATATCAAAGTCGATGAAATTGATGACGAAAGTAATTACAATATTTAATTGTAATAATACTCTAATTTGAGAATTCGATGGAAACACACTAAAAGTTAAAGATTATTTGATAGTTTGACGACATTTGATAAAATTGAATCTTAATATAAGTTTCTGAGTTTAAACACTTTTTAATTGGGATGATAATCATTTATGATTTTAAATTCAATTTGTGTAGGTAGGTTTAAGCTAGTTATTTGAACTTCTGTGATAGCATCCTGTATTTAATGAAATCACACACTACATGTTAGTTCTTTTCTTCTTTTTAATTCCCTAATCTCTGTGAAAGATACCTCCGACATACTAATCCAAACCATTGATGAGAGAAATAAAGAATATAATATCGTTCAACAATCTTTCGGAACTTTTTTTTTTGATAATAATTAATAGTTATCGTATTTAAAAGATTTTAGATTCATTAATCGATTAATTTGAATCATACACTAAAGATGTTTATCATGCGAATTGCCTCTAATTCTATTGATAATTTAACTGGTATTTTTTGTTTGTTGGGGACATGTGTTCAAGGGCGGATCCACACCTCGCTTAATGTAGACAAGTGTCGATCATGAAATTTATTTATTATTTTGTTAATTATCGTTTTATTAATTGTGTTCACCGTAAAATTTTATTTGTCTGTTCATACATAAATTTTGTATTTAATAATAAAGTATACAAATGATCCCTCGACTATAGGGTACTACTTTATTAACTCTCTCGACTATTAAAAGTTACAAAATGGTCCTTTGACTATAGAGTGTTGCTTTGTTGAGTCCATTGACTATTAAAAGTTACAAAATGATCACTCTACTACTGATTATGTTTCAAGCTCGTCCTTTTTCATTTAAAAATTAATGATTGTCTAAGTTGAACGTTAACATGATGACTGAAATATGATAGTTGTTTGGGATTTTAGGATCATATTTTATCATATCACAGTCAACAGGTTAATGTTCAGCTCATAATGTCGTTAATTTTTCAATGAAAAGGACGAGTTTGGAACATAATGAACAGTCAGGTGACCATTTTGTAACTTTTAATAGTCGAGAGATTTAACAAAACAACACTCTATAGTTAGAAGACCATTTTGTAACTTTTAATAGTCAATGGACTTAATAAAATAGTACCGTATAGTCAGAGACCATTTGTGTATTTTACCTTACTAATATATGTGTGCTTATAGATCCACTATTTTATGTGGTCAGAATTGATGAGTTTAGTTTAACTAGGCCTAAGCTAATGAAGTAAGATAAACCAAAATGTCAATTCTAGGCTTCACCAAGCATAGCCCGCCAGCTTTCTACTTATTAATTACTCCATTCAAATTGCACACCGCGGTTACCTTTCCCCCCGCCACATTCAAGTAATTCTAACTGAAAAGCATTACAATTAATTACTCCATGCAATGTACGTAATCGCAAACCCATCTATTGATTGAGAATGTAACTTTCAAAACAACTCTCAAGTTTCTCGTGACCTCCTTTGCCATTCACCGCACCTACTCCCGGTTCACTTTATTTTGCCTTTTCCTTTTAAACTTCCCTCCTCTGTCCATTACACTTGTCTCCAATTCATGATTATTTGATTACTGCAGTGATTTAAAGTTCATCTGCTTAGATTCTGGCCATTTGCCAAACACGAGAGAGATGAGCCCTAATACCAAGAGTAGGAATGCATGTAAATAACTTTCAACAAATTATTAGCATAACAAACACCTATCTGTTCACGTGGGAGACTACAGGTACCTTAAATGTGGTTAACAAACTTAAAAAAGAAAATTACACGCGGCAAATATGCAACTATTCAAGAGAAAACCGACGAATCAAAACCCTAGGCCCCTACGCCTTCCGATGTATCGTTTTCATGCACAGACT